TCGCGATGTCGACGGGATGCTTCAATAATTATTATCTCTATTGTTCGCAATTATTATTGCTCGTTAGTCAGAATTCGGTTCGATAAATTTTTATCTAATAGGTCATGCGAGCGTCGTCAATGATTTTTATATCTATCGAACGGGATTCTTCGAATAAAAACGAGGCGAGCGGGAGGAAAAGCGCGGCCCTCTAAATAAATACAGCGACCGAAACAGGGATTGTATTTCTCGTCGGGACAGTCCTTTGTCATCATAAACCCGTTTTCTACGTCACCGACGCCGAAATCCGGCTCGAAGGACCGTCGATAAAACGCCGTCTCGGAAGCGACTTCCGAAAACCGTCGAATTATTTTCATTTCCACTGGCACGTAATTCTCCGACCCCCGTTCGAAATCGATGCCGCCGAAAACGCGAAATCGAAACCGCTCCGTTACACGCGGAAAAAAAATATCGCTCCGAAAATTATTGGAATATCTATAGCTCGTTCAGATTAACAAAGCGACGACGTCACGTGATTGTATTACGTTCCGTAAATTAATCTCATTTATGGAGATTCATTGCGGCGGTACAATGTAAAAGTGGAATTGGAAAAACCTATTTTCCGAGTCGACCTACTTTTTTGTGTGCGAATTTTTTTTCTCGTGTTGCCGGAGTTGTATTTTTATAGTCGTATAGGTGTGTTTACGTCAACTCGGAGAGTTCGGAGTTCGGAGGAACGTAAACAACTCCCCTATAGCTAGTTATATGATTGAAAATTTTATGTTTGTTCTTCCGATGAATTCCGCTGTTTATAAAATACCGTTGCTGTTTTGTATTCTTTTAAGAGGTCGCTTTATCGCGAGATTGTTGTGTTTAAATCGCTGTTAAGGTCGGGAAAAATTAACTAATAGCTTTGATTATTTCACAAATACAAACAAATTTCTTGTAATGTAAACATAGAGGATAAACGAGCATGTTGAAATGTAGCCATTTTGCAATATAATTTAATTAGTGACTTCATTGTTAATGTTAAATTTAGCGATGTAAATTTCCTGGCAAAAGCTGTTTGGACAGATCATTACAGTTTATTTGCTTGCTATTAAAATATTAAAACCACTTTGAGAAAATTAAAATTCTATGGAACATATTGGAAACACTGGTTTCATCACCAAAAATAGATTTAAAATAAATATACTACAACACAATCCCTTTTATATACTATATTTCATAACTAAAAGCTCATATCCTATTCGCTTTCCTTTAAAGCTTACATTATAAGTAATTTATTTATTACAGTAATGTTGAATTAATATTATACGAGAAGCTTTCCTCCGTTTCGTTGACAAAATGGTGGCGTAAATTTCAGTTTCGTTTATTAAGAGAGATTAAATTCCTCCTCGAAGATAATCGAATTTCGGCGCGGCTCGTTCGAAACTTTTTAATTAATGCCTTCTTAATTGCATCAAAATGCACTCGCGGATTTTTCCTGCCATTTCACGGATGATTTAATTAAGTAATCCTTCTTTGTCGGTCGGACGGCGGCGCAAAGGGAGAGGAGGAGACGGGAAGAATGGAAAAAAACGCGAGAGGGAAAGAGAGCAGCTGATATCCGGGGATCTTTTGATAATAATTTGAATGAGAGGCCGTTTCGCTTTGTTCTCGCGGAAAATTTTGTTTGAGAATGAGCTCTTCGGGAAAGCTCATTTCAATGCATCTTTTACGTCTGAAAGGAAAGCTTCTTTTAAATTTAACGGTCAATTGTTTACAACCGTTTTCGTCTGATTTATCTTGGATTTCGCGAAAATCTTTCTGTTCGAGGGAAGCAAAAAAAAATCCTTCTTTTATATAACTCTTCCGGTTCTACGTTCGATCATTTATATACACGATTTCGACATTATATCCAGAAGCAAGCACTTCCAGGGTAGTCTGAAACCTCCTCGGATATTCCGGACACGCGTATCTTTCTCTCTGCAAATAACTTTTCCTAACCGCAATTTTCGAGGAAAAATGAAGTGCTTTCATTCTTCGCAAGGCTACCAGCGGCGCGGCGGCGTTTTCCCGCGAAAGGTCTTCGAATTTATCGGGGAAAAAACCGCTCGCTAGGAAAAACGTATACGAAGCGGGACAGTCCCGCCCGGCTCATAAATATGTATCAAGAATTTATTCCGCGGAAAGAGGGAAAAAACTCTTGGCCCGTTTCAATTTCCAAACGGTCGGAGAGTGTGCCAAACGGCACAAAAAAAGGGGGAAATTTCCGCGGCTACATATAAATAAGTGGACGATTATTTCCAGAAGAAGAGGCCTTATTTCACCTGAACTGGCGTACACTAGGAAACTCTTTACGCTTTCCAAACAAGAGCCATTTTCATGCATAATTCACAACGCTAACGTTTGTATATTAGAAAAAAAAGAGAATAGTATAAACAGTTATTTCAAAACACAACCCTTAAGCTACAAACGGGGTAGTTTTTAGTCCTATTGCGTTCAAATTACAAGCCTAGCAGATTACAGTAATTTAATAAGTTTGCTGGCATTTCAATGAAATTATTCATACCGCATCGGGAATTTGCACCGTATCCATTTCTCCATACGCACACGTACTTACCCCTAATGGGAACGTACTCACTTGGGGGTTCGAATTCCAAAGGTGCGCGTATAAAATATCAATCGGATGTTGCAGGATATTACAGCGGGATTGAATGGTCTCGTTAATGGCGATTTTCTTGGGCGAAAATTTTCCTGCCGTTACAGCAGAGGAAAATCGAAGGGATACGTTCGGTTTGGGAGTTATTGATGTCGAGTCCGTTTCCTGCCGGTCGGCAGGAAGTCGCCTATCATTCCTGCATTTTCATGATTCGATCTGTATCTAACGAACTATTGATAGGGAAGCGGAGGATATTTTATATTGGCTTTTTTTCGTGCTAGGTTTTTGCCTTATATAACTCGGTTTTTAATAACGGCGTTAATGAGCCGTTTTCAGTTTTATAATTTCCTTTCTTTACGTTTTTAAGCACCGACGTGAATATTAAAAATCCACCATCTAGGTCGTTTAATCCCGCTTAAACTACCATCTAAAACTCAATTTTACGTGCTGCCAGTTCTCGTGTGACAGTAATTTTAATAGGAAAAGTATTTTGTTTTGCTCTCGCCCGTACAATTCCAGTTTTCATTAAAAACCATAACTCGATCTGCGTCGATTTTTCCAGCACCTACGCGTAATAATTTTTTTCGTATTAAATCGAAACTAATTAGAAATTTTACACGAAGAAGCTCACGCTAGTTCGACGTGAGAACTCGACGTTCCGGCTCCCCCTTTTTCCAACGTGGAAATTATTGAACTAATGCGTAATTTCCGCTGCTTGTTAGCTCACCGGCCGGGCAGACGATTATCATTTTTATAGAAGGCGATAAACAACGCATAAAACGGGTTTAGTTCTTATCGTTGGCTTTCATTGTAACAGAAAATTAATAGCTGGACGAGAGGAATGTTTCGAGAAGCGGACAAAAATGAGGCGATAATAAGGAAACGTCCGATACGCAATTATTTATTCAGTAGATTTAACAATAGTTACTCCAGAATGGTGAGTGTTTAATAAACGAACGCACTAGTATTGTTAAGTAAACATATAAAATAAGACGAGATCCGCCGAAAAAAAAAACTGAGTAAATACGCGAGCAATGCATTCCTAAACACTAGAAAGCCTCATCACCATCTTACAGCACATAGAGAGAACAAACAGAGGAGCTCCTGACGAGACCGTTTCCCTCGTTTGTATACAAAAGGCATAAGGAAGGGAAAAAAAACGCTTTGTTCCCATATTTACCAGCTACTTCAGACTAAACGAGCGTTTCGAAAAATGTCAACCGATATTTTCTGCTACTACCTCTTTGTTGTTATCTTAGGCAGGGCGGTTCCCTCAGTTAAATCGAAACCACTACCGCAATCGTTTGAAGAATTCGTTTTATTAACGAGACCTGAGCTGATCCGAGGTTGCCACTTTAAAAATTTCGCAGATATACTCATTGAAAGAACTACTAAATTTTCTTCGCTCTTACTAGAATTAATTTTATGAAATAAAGAAGCATTTTAATGATGTTTTATAGTGATATAGCAGTAAGAAGTGCGTATTGGATTAATAAATAAGACGGTGAGGGTTTGACGTTTTTATGGGCGAAAATTGGACTCGTATTAGGGCAATAGAGGATCGTAAAATTTCACTTAAAATAACGTCGTTTTAATTGGATTAGGAAATTTTATTGTTAGAATTTAGAGGGGGCTTGTAAATTTTAACGCGCGCTTTGGTAAAAGTCGGGGTTTTACGACTTTATTGTCGGTTTTAAAAATTATCGAGGATGGTAATGTAATTATCCTGGGCGAAATTGATTTTTTTTTCGCTGCCACATCGCGGCGACATCTGCTCGAGGTGATTTTTTTGTCGGGAGGAAAAAGCGTATTAACGGTTATGCTCAAAAGACACCTTCGACTTTGTTTCTCGAATTTTTACGATCATTTTTAACGGTAGCCGGCTATTAGGGTCGTAATTTTTTTAAACGAGCTCATTAGTACGTAACCCGATAGTTTTGACACCCGAAATTGGGTTTTTTTGATGTCTGCTTGTTGAGAAAAAACTAAATTATGTTTTTAAAAATACATTTACGAGGGTGGAGGCTTTTTTTTAGAGTATTAACGCAAAACGAAAATAATTCCTGGTATTTTTCATGCATCAAAAATTACATACATATTTAAAGAATTTGTAATTTTTAGTTATTTATTTGTAGCAGCGTAATTAATTTATTAAAATGTTTGTTAAAATATTATAGCCTTTCGGTAATATTTACGTATTCCGTTTAATTACTCGATTTATACATATGTTATGTATATTAATTAACATCAAATATTAACTACATTTTCGTTTAAACGCCGACCAGAAAATCCAGATTTAAATTTTTATTTACACCGTATTAAAAAAATAAAATCGCCCAATTAAAATAAATTAAAAAAAATATTTATTTCCAATAATTTACATATCACAGTTATCATTAATAGCGGCAGTTCATTTTATATAAGTCTTCGATTCCTCATCATGCGAGTCCTCGACGTCTAAGTCTTTTGCCAATTCAGTCCACAAGCCTTAATTATTCGTCAATAATTCGTCATTCGACGCTAAAAACAAAACGGAAAACTCAAAATAAAATCAAGCAAAAAATAAATAAATTAATTAAATCCGACAAAAAAGCGTAAAAATAGGGTGGTAGGAAAATTACTCAAAGCGAATCATTTGTTTGCTGAATTATTTTGTGAAAAATTTGGAACAAAAAAATAATTAATATGTCAGAAAAAAACATTTCCAGCACCCTATCCAATTCTAACGAGAGGCTGCAAATTCTAAGACAGGCTCGGATTAACATTAAATTTCCCATTTAAAAATAACCTACATATTTCCATTCATTTCCAGTACCCTTTTTATCGATTACCTACATAAAATAATTAAATTAGACGTTCATACCTGCTAAAAAACATCCGCTACGCCCACAAGGGATGCGGCATGGTGGATCGTCCGTCGCGCGGCAGGCTCGAGGAGTGCTGCAGGAACGGCGGCAGCTTGCCGGGCGGCGGCGGCGGCGGCAGAGCCGGGCTCCTCTCCCTGTCGCCCAAATGCGAGGGCGTCGCCGTCGCGTAGATGTTCACCGACGACCGCTGGTGGACGCACGGCCGGCGGACGTCCGGCATGGCGAATTGCAGCTTCTGCCAGAACTGCCTGTCGCCCCATTCGATGACGGTGTTGGTCTTCAGGTAGAGCCTCAGATCGGGATCGAGGTCGCGCTGCGGCAGCTCGCCCGTCACCACGAATATCAACCGGCGGCGGCGGTCCTTGAGCACCTCGTGCAATGCACTTTTGAATTCGAACCGGCACCACTCGTTGTGTATGAAATTCTTCGATAAAACTATTATAGTCCTGCGCGACGATTCGACCGCTTCGATGATCGTGTCGGCCACGTACGCTGATACGTTGAAGTCTCTGTAGTGCAAGCACAACCGGTAACCCGGATCGGTGGCTTCTAATCCGGGCGCTAATACTTGACTCACGAACGCCTCGTCTTTAACGCTGTAACTCACATACGCGTCGAATAACCTGTCTTTATCCTGTTGTTCCTCGAAAGCGGTGGTTTTGTAGCACATTCTGAGTCCGCATCTGGAGTAAATCCACACTCTGAGCTCTCTTCTGTAGTAAAACGCGCCGCAAACAATGACGACACTCGCTATGAATACGCACATGGTTACTAACAACAAGGGTAGGTAATCGTTCATCGCTTGAGTTTCCACTACGGCCCTGTTGCTGCCGGAGAACACGTTCACGCAAGACGTTCCGTTAAAATCCGATATACTGGGACCGAGCGCTTTAGTAACGTTATTATACATGCAAGTTATTTTATTGGCGTCCTCGACTTTGCCGTAATTAACCTGCAACCAAGTTTTGAATTTCGCTACGTAACTGCAATCGCAAGACCATTGATTGTAAGCCAATCCGATTTCGACCAAGTAAGGATTCAACGTCAGTTGCCAAACTTCGAACGAATACAATCTATTACCGTCCAATCTTAGCACTTCTAATTGCTTTAACGGTAGAAACGTTCTGTTATCGATGTATGTGATCATGTTACCCTGCAGGTATAATTCTTTCAGATACTCCAAACTAGCCAATTCGAATCCTAATAGCACGATTATGTGATTGTTTTCCAAATGAAGCACAGTCAAACGTTTCAATCCGCTGAACGTGTGATTGTACACAGCCGCTATGTTCGAATTGTTAGCGTACAACACCTTCAGATTCTTCCTGCCGATGAACGCGTGGCTGGACAATTCGCCGAAATTATTACCGTCCAAATATACTTCAGTAGCGTCCATAGGTATCCTGCTGGGCATCTCCGTGTAACCTACTCCGGAGCATTCCACAACGTTCGCCGACCAGGACTGATCGTGATAACAAGTGCAATTAGTCGGACAGGTCATTTCGCAGTCGCAAGCGTCGAAATCGCAGCAGTGACACAGGGCGAAACAATGGGTCTTGTAGGTGCACAAAAATTGCGATGACTCGGCCTCGATCAGGGGCAGGTAGTTGGTTTCTCTGTTGTAAAGCAGCTTGCAGTAAATCGACTCCAAGTCCATGACTCTGGGATGTTGCCGGAGATGGTCGAGTTTGTTGATGCGCTGCAACCACTCCATGGTACAGTCGCATTGGAACGGGTTACCGCCTATGTAGAATTCCGGCAGCGGTTTCTCCGGATCGACTGGAGTTAACCTAAGCGCGTTCAGGTCCATGCTGACTATTTGATTGGCATATAAATCGACTCTCGTTAGATTGGTTTTCTTTAGAAAGGTGTGAGGTTCCACTGTGGTAATGGAATTGTCGTTTAAAAATAGCAGTTCGATGTTGGATGGAACAGCCGCTGCGTGGATTCTTGTAAGTTTGTTAAAACTGCAGTCGAGCGTTTGTAGTTTCAATTCGAAATCTAAATTGTAATGGTTACCAAGCTCTTTAATGTTATTTTTATGCATGTCGAGCCATTGCAATCCTCTGGGAATTAAAGCGTAATCGAACCACTCAATGCGATTGTCGGAGATATTCAACCACAATAAACTAGGTATTTCTGCGAATAATCCGCTAACGTCGGTCAGTTGATTAGAATCTAGTCTGATAGCTTGGAGATTAGGGCTATATTGTAAGGCGCCTTTTTCGACTTTTTGTATTCGATTCCTAGCTAAATTCAAGATCTGCAATGCAGGTAAATCGGAAAATATCCTTTTGCTGACGTTACTGATTTTATTTCCTATCAATCTCAACCCGTACAGATTACTCATACCTCTAAATCCGGGATCCTCTAGCGATTCGATGACGTTCTCGCCTAAATCAACCGTCCTCATAAGTCTCATATCTTTCAAAGCTAACGGCACGGATTTTAATAAATTCCCATTTAAATTCAGGTCTTGTAAACTCGAACAATTTCTAAAGGCTTCGGGATGGATGCCTTCGAGCACATTGTTATCTAGCGCAAGCAAGGATAATACGTAGAGACCGTTTAGAGAGAAAGCGTCCAGATACGTGATTTTATTATAGGATAGTATCAACGTGTGTAAATTATTCATGGGCGCGAAAGTATCCGCCGGAATCGTTTCTAAAGAATTATGCTCCAAATTTAATATTTGCAAAGTGTAAAGATCCCTGAAGAACGTTGGATCTAATTTGCTGATTCGGTTGTAAGATAAATTTAGCAGAACTAGGCGAATCAATCCCGAAAACGTATCTGCGTTTATCCAGGAACTTGTTAGCAGATTTCTGGAGAGATCTAAAGCGAGAAGTTGCTCCAAATTAGCGAACAATCCTGGAGCCAAGACGCTTATCGAATTGTTTTGCAAGTAAATTTCTTTGATAGACCCTACGCTGTCTTTGAATAATTCCGATGGCAAGGCGACGACTTTGTTATTAGACAAATCGAATACCTGCAGGGATTTTAGGCCGGCCAAAGCTCGATCGGCTACCATCGATATTTCGTTATTGTGAATGTACAATTCACGCAATCTACGCAAAACGCTAAATCCAGTAGCAGGTATCAACACGAAATGATTATATGAAGTATCTAATACCTGTATGTCTAAGTTACAAGGATTCGTTAGCGTTCTGGCCGCTTCGGTGTGCTGTTGGTGATCATCTTCTGCTACGCTAATCAAAGGTTGCGGCAAACCCGGAGCTTTTTCGCGGAAACCCAAGTCACTAACGTCCTGCAGTCGATTTTCACTCACGTTCAAATGCACCAAGTTAATCAACGGGCAGAATATGTTCTCGGGAAACGACCAAATGTTATTGCAGCTCAAATCTAACCGTTCCAATTGTCGCACCGGCAGGAAACTGTCGCGGGCGAAGTCCAAATTCATGGCGGGCCAATCGGTGTTGTGAGTTTTGATGGTCAAATTCCGCAAATCCCTTAAACCGAGCAGCGTACCGGACGGCCACCTGCCCAGCTTGCAATTTTCCAACTCCAACGCTCTCAGCTTCGTCAGGTGAACGAAGCTCTTGTCGTCCAGGCTGCTCCTCGACATGATGTCGCCGTTGCACTCGATGCGAAGGGACGTGGTGTGCTCGGACGGTATGACGCTGAAGTTGGTGGTGTCGAATTCGCTGTTGATCGTGCGTAGATTGCAAGTCAAAGACACCTCCTCCTGGCCATCGCGGATCCACCATTGGCAATCGTCCGGCGCTTCGTACTTCAAAGGTTGCGAAGAGGAATCGGTGGCGAAGTACTCGCCGGAACTCGACGAACTTCCGACGAGCAGCAGGAAGGAGCAGAAACAGAAGCGAGCGGACATTTTCCTCGAATTCGGTCACAATACCATACTGGCGACGAACATTTAACTAATGCAACTAACACTCGTTGGCACTGAACGTGTACGTGCGAGCACCCGGAGCTTTTGTCAGCTGTGTCGCGACCGTACGATTCGGAGGGCCGCCGAAAACTGATCTTCTGATGCTGGCTTCGGCGAGTTTCTCGCCGCCCCGACTAGTCGGCGAGCTTTCGAGCGTTACGAGAGCGGTCGAGGCGCGGCGGAGGCGAACGAGCTTCGGGACCTGCCCCGCCTTGCTATCGCTCACACGCCGAACGCCAGTCTACGACGAACGCTGTTGAATGTTTATGGTAGCACTACTTTATTTCGCCATCGAATGGCGTTTTTGATTAGCATTCGCGCATCTTGAGAAACCTAGGTCGCGGGAAATGTTCACTTTAATATCTGAAATTTGATGATAATTTAGATATGCTTAGAGAAAGAGTTATAGGGAGATGAAGATGACTTTAAATAATAAATTCAAAGAAAAAAATATGCTTGTCTTGTACAAGTGAACAATGAATGAAGTTTTGTTAGAAAAGCCATGAAGAGTTAGACCTAGAAGAATCATTTGTATCGTTAAGAGCTCTTTTCTGGGACCACTTGAAGACCTAATCCTAGATCTAAAGAGAAAAGAAGTAAATTTGCCTTTTATACCCATCATTAATTACCTACATTATTAAAAGCACTTAAATAATCCTATTGGTGTAATCCCAGAAAGCAGTAGTACTTGCTATTTATAATTTACGCCATCCAGTTGTATAACAGAAAAAAATCTCCTCCATAAAACTAAACGTATTTCGTCGGTAATAGCATTCTCTGGAAAACTTTCGTTTGAAACTGGAAAAACCTCCGGAACTTTTTAATAGCGAATAGTTTTCTGGACGACGCTTTTAAATACTTCAAAGCACGTCGTCCCCTTCGCCTCGTTTCCTAATGGGATTTGTTTTTATTTAACGGGACGCTCGCGCTGACAAGAAGACTTCGCTTTGAAATAAAGTAGTTTGCCCTTAAATCGAATGCGGTAGGGTGCACGATGATCAAATGGAAACTCCTTTGCAATTAACCATCAGGATTTCGCCATATCGCGCTAATTATCAACCAAAGTTTCTGGGCTGTTGGAAGATTAAAAGTAAGTTGGCGATGAAATATTGCGGTGTTGTCATATCGCAAATATTGATGCAACTTGTGATTAACTAACAAACGCACTTTTGTATAGGGATATTTGTTACCTGGGTTCATTCACAATGCCCGGTTTACCACCTGCTTAGGGTGTATTATTATCTACTTTAGCATCCAAGTGCCAAAAAGTATATTATTCCTTTATCATTGTAACATATATTATTCACCAAACAAAGCTTCCTAAATAGTTATATTATCCAAAAACTGGTTGATAAAATTCTTTACCGTCGTTCTGATCCTTCGAGTTATTAAGGTCGAGCGTTTGATAACCGGTCGTTCTGTGTTTATGTCGACTTTATGTATTTGATTTGAGGGAGCTTCGCCGCCGCCGGACAAGCCGTGACGGCGTATTAGCTCGCTAGACGTGTTTCGGGGGCGGCACAGCGAAAGCAAACACCGGATGCGGCCGGGGACGGCCGCGAATTTCGCCCGGAGTGGATACCTGCAAATCCGGGACGGGGGATGATGCATGTCAAAACGCCGCGCGGGTTTGTAGGCGAAATCAGAAGTGGGATTTTTTTGTTTCGAAATATTGTGCATCGTAATGTCGGAATAATGGGGACGGGAAAAAGTCGAGAGAAGAATAATATCGAGCCCTCGAGAGTCCACAAAAGAAATAATAAATATTCTTTCATTTTGGACCCTTTTGTGCGATTTTAACGACTGTCCCAGAAATCCTCTCGAAAGCTCATTTAAAATTCTTTAATTTTTCTTGGTTCGTCCATTCACCGAAACTAAACGCTTTGTAAATCTCAGGATAAACCACTTAAAATTGGCACGCATTCAAGGGCGACAATGGCCCCCCGGACAATGGCTTCAGGGACGTGGTTCAATGGGGTTTAAACGAATTAAAAATTTATTTACAGTCAATTGAATATCTATCTTAAAATGATAAGTTATTTTGTATTGGTATATTGTGCTTGTGTTATATTATGTTGTGGAAAGTCGTGTCTTTTAAAGAGAAACAAATTTTAATTAGCATATTAATGAAATTTCTCGAAAACAGTAAAAAGTGAGTATTAATTGGGCGGCGAACTCGAAACTCGCATTTCTTTCCCGCACGGACCCTACTTGTTTTCCCGCATAACCAATTATTTTCCGCTATCCCGCCTTCTTATAATCTTCCCAATTAATCCTTGGGAATTTTTTTACTTCGAAGGAAGTTTTTAAATTACTCCCCCATGCCTAGCGCCTGTAATATAAATCAGCCTACTTTCTGGAAAAACTTTAAAATGCGTTTTTTTCGCAACTTTTTCTTCTTCCGCGCGCCCGGAAAAGACACGACAAACGCAAACATGAGGGTAATAAAAGCGAGTAACCAATTAATATATTCGGTTTATAAATTGTTTAATTAGCTCCACGTGAGCGTATAATTACTCAAAAACCGTGAGTTGCATTAATACTTATCGTACAAACGAGCGTCAATTAAATAAAATTAATTAGCGTAGCCACAACAAACTCACAAACAATTTATAGTCGGGCTTATAATAATATAAATCAAACGAAATTATATATATTAACATAAAAATAAAAACAACTCGTTAGTAATAAATTTCCAGCTTAATTTCCTATCCTTTTTACGGAATCGAGCGAGAGAGCGCAGAACCCACCTGCCTCCCGATATATAAACCTTCCGACGTCGAAATTATCGAGTTAAACCGTTTTTCTATATTATATCCCATCGCTTTCGCTTTGTATTCGAACGGCTTCGGCTCGAAATTAAAAATTCTTCTCTAACGCGACTTGTGCGCATCGCAGGTGATCCAGTAATTCGTTACCCTTCGTCAAAAAAAAGGTCCTAGACGTTTTTATCTCGACCATTAGTAGGTAGGTAAATTAATTTGTCGATGGACGCATTAATATTCGTTGTTCGAAGTTAATTCGAACAAAATAGGTGATTAAAGAGGTAAAAAAAGATGAGTGTAATTTATTATGAAGTTTCACTATAAAAATATTAAGTTGGAAACAGTGTAAAGTGTAAAGTAATAAAAGGCTCGGTATAGAATAATAATAATAATAATATAAACCCGAAAACCGGACATGATTATTCCCTACTATTGCGAACGCAATGTGTATTTAAAGTAGAGCAAGCAATAACAATCGTTTACCAATGTTCATGGTTTATTTATTTTCAATCAACTTGTTTGAAATATACAAATCGTAATATCCCGTCAGGGCGCGCAGCCGACATCGAATATTATTTATCTTCGGGGACCGTTCCAATTAATTGTCCAATTATTAAATCGCCGATAGATTGGTCAAATATAAAATTCGTTGGGCCAAATATAAAATTCGTTGGGCCAAAACCAGGAACAGCCTCGCCTCCAGGAAACTTGTTTATTACATTAAACTACACTACACTGCACAACCCAGCATATAGAATAATAGATGTGTAAAATATTATGTATTTGTGTGTGTATAGGTAAGGAAATCAAGTCGAAATGCAATCGTTTAGATGCTCGAAATATAGGATGTTTTAAACCGTAAACCAAGGGGTAATGTTGAATGTATATTCGGGGTTTCCCGGAACGTATAAAAACACTGATTTCCTCTGGGACTATAAAAAAAAGCTTGACCCCGAACCCAATCTCGCCATAGAGCTGATCTAAACATGCTGATATCTCGATACTCGAATCAACAACTTCGCCTAAATAACCGAAGAAAAAAATAAAATACAAACAAACTGCAGGTATTTTCCGATTTTTTCTTGCATGTTATAAGCATTAAATTTGTATCACAACTGAATAGAAAATGGAAAAGAACATCCTAAAGATGAGAATCGATTTTCTTTTATCATGATCACAGAAGGGTTTCCAGACTGGAAAATGAAGAACCGATCGAGCAGCTTAGATTAGTCACTCGATTAATACATTAAAAAACTAACCAAACAAAACACCATTCATTCCCCACTTTGTCCATCAACCTTCCAAGTACAAGCAAACAGCGCTGGAGCGTTTTCGTTGCGGAGCGAGAGAGCGTTCCCTTTCGCTTTGAAGTCCTCAGACGGAATCTCGTTAATCCGAGTCGTCGTTTTTGTTTTCGGCATCCAGAAGAGAGAAACGGCATTAATATTAATTGCGGCTGATGTACACGGTTCTGCTAATTAACGCCTTTAAACTTCAACGTTTAACGACTAGCGACACACCGGCGGAACGCCACCCAACGATCTCGGGCGTATGTGCTTTTCCTAGCGCATATTCGCTTCACCGGTAAAATGAGAATCTACTCTACGGCGTATTATGGCACAATGTAAAACGTCTAGTTATTAGCTATGGTTCGTGGGGAGTAAGTAAAACTTCCTTAAGTTACACGCTGATTGAGGTAATCGCGTACGATTAGTATAGTACGCGCATTATTATACAACTAATGACGTCATGAGATTATTAAAACGAGCAGAGTATAACAAAGTTTTTTTCTTTCGCTAAAATTGCGCGCGGTAACTTTCTTTTTTTTATTTTCCGGGGTAATAACGCTTCTTCTTTACGTTTCGTGCGATAAAGTAGCGCGCAAATTTCGTTACGCAAATAAAATTCCCGAATAACTCAAATAAAAGGTCGGCCATTTATTACTGTAAACTTTTTCCTCGACCTTACTCTATATATTTGCCCGTATGAGAACTTTTTGTCCGCGCGGGGAAATTATTCGGTGAAACCCCGCGGTTTTGTTGATTTAATCAAAACTTTGTCGATTTTTCTCCGTTTTTTTTTTCTCTCCCGGACGGGTGTCGTTCGGTTTTTTACGACGCGAAATGATCGAAAACCGCAAGATAAATCATGTTCGTCGCCCATTGGGAAACTTTTATTGCAGTTTATGTACCGCCCGATTTGCATGGAATATTCTATTTAACGGAACTGGTTCGTTTGTCCACAACAATTCGCTCGTTAATTAAAAAAGTTTTAATTATTAACGGATAAACGCCGATTCCGTATAAAGAAACT